TGCCTTACCACTCTTCTCTTGTGTGGTTTTTGTCTCCTGAAAGAACTGGGATGAGGAGCTTTGACTTTTCATCAAATTACACAATCTGTTGATCAGAAAAAGTGAAGTCTCGTAGCTGTTGAAGTAATTTTGTATCAGTTTGCAGGAAGGGCTGGCCTGTGGTCACACTCCTTGCAGCTTCCAGGCCTGCTGTGGCCAGTGGTGACCCTTGGGAAAAGCAGGTGAGTGTGAACCAGCAGACATGGCACTGGTCTACAGAGACCAGGGCATTGCTCACCAATGGGTCCCTGTTATACAAAGTCCTTCCTGTTGTTTCTTCTCATGTCCACTGTCATCCAAGGAAACTATGTCCTGCAGCAATGCTGGGCTCATGGTTTTCCAAGGCCAGCTGTCCCTCCACCAGAAAGCATTGGTAATTCCTCTTCAGCAGGTGCCCCTGAGCAGACCTTATGTGTTTTCTCATTCTGTCCATGCAGAATTAGTCCCAAAATCATGTATGGAGCTCTTCAGTAGCTCTGGCCACAATAAAATTTTCTATATTCTTTGCTAAATAGTTTCCTCCTTTCTTTTGCAGCAATTCCTGGCTCTGCCCTGTTGATGATCCCCAGGCTGTTTGGTTCGCTTCTCCCTGAGCCTCTGGAGTTCTAGAAAGGCTCAGCACTGTAATTGATGTGGGGGTGACAGCAGTCCTCTCTCCACAGGGCCTTTTCTGTGTTAGATGGGAGTGTCTTCCCTGAGGGGTAGGGATCAGACCCTCTTCTCCCTGTGTAACCCGGCCTGGTTTTTGTGCTGGAGCAGGGTGAGCACCAGAGGGGGAGGCCCAGCCAGCTCTGCATTGTGCTGCAGAAAGGCTGCTGTGCTCTTTGGGCTGAGGGGAACTGGGTTTCCTGGGCTATCAGATGTCCAGGGACATCTTTCTACTGCCTTCAGCTGCAACATTTGCTCCACTCTGCTGAATAACTCAAGGCTGCCAAACATGCAAGGCTGTGTCCATGCATTGGAGCAGCTGGGTGCTGAGCCAAGAGCCAGGCTCCAGCAGGATGGGCTCCCAGCACTGCCAGTGTTGGACTCTGATCTCCTGAACCTCAAGGGGAGCAGGAGGATTGTGTGTGCCACGTGGTGATTGAAATTGGCTGGGGCTTATGTTTTTGCCACAACCACATCCAAGGAGCACTGTTGCACAGTGAGAACCCAAGAGTGCAAATGGTGAGGCTGAGATGGTTTTAGCTCCTGGACTCTCCTTCCCAACCTTGCTTTTGTCCTCTTGGGCCTTTAATTGACCTGCAGATTCAAGTGTCAATGACATTTCTGCTGCTCTGCATGAGGAATGTCCATAGTAGACCTGTGACAGTAAGCAAAAGCAGCAAGTCCCATTGGGGTGCTACTGGGGCACCCAGAGCAGTCCTGGGCTCAGCTCCAGAGGGTTGCCATGACCACAAGCTGCAGCCCAAGACCATAAGAGCTGGGTTGAGGTCCTGACAGCAGAAGTCCTGATGCCTTCAGCTCCCCATCACTGCAGACACATTGAGGTCTGACGTCCTCAAATATCTTCTCCAGGACTATAGGTTTTTGACAGGGTGTGAACTCTCCCATCAGCTGGAGGCAGTGCCCTGGACCAGCTGTTTCCACCACAAGAACTGTGGCTTTCAATGATTTGCAGGATCACAGCTTTCCACAATCCTCTGAAATCATGCCATGGTCCCTGGCCACTGTCTGGCAGCTGTGCCAGGCTCCACAGTGCCTGCTCCAAGCCTCCGCCTTGGCATGGGATGCACGTCGTGCTTACTTTCATCTTTGAGCCTGGCTCAAGTTTCTTTGTTTCCTCTTTGAAGTCAAGGGGACCTTCCTTTGGGAAACGATTTTGTAGGAGTCTGTTCCTGCACTGCTTTTGACGTGTCCTGAGAGCATCTCAATGAGCTGCCTTGAATTGCGGGGTGGGGGAAAAGAAGTTCCTGGCAGAGGATGAAGCTTTCTCCCCCCTCCTGTGCCCGGTGCCGTGCATGGCACGACGGCAGCTCGTGCTCGGTGGCACCCCCGGCACGGACACCGCACGCCCCGGTCCCTGCTCGGCAGCCGCAGCTAAGCCCCGCTAATGCCTTGTGGACGCGCTGTTGCTGGGGTGACCGTGTACATATTGCACAACCTCCGAAACACTTCCCTCTGTTTTGTAGCAACTCGCGCTAGAGAAGCGGCGTTCCCGCATAACCTCATCCCACCCCAGGCACGGCCAGCCAGAGACTCATTCCTGAAACGGGATGAGTCCCGGGAGGCTGCGGTGCCCAGCCTCGGGGGAAGCGAGGGGCAAGGAGGATGAGGGTGAGAACAGCGGGTGCTCAGATGTTGTGCTTGTGCCCTCGTGCAAGCTCTGAGCTGCACCCTGAGCCGTCGCCCGAACACACTTCGAGCTCTGTGTGAGGAGAGGGACACAGTCCTAGCAGGAACCAGCCCAGCAGCCGAAGCTGCAGCTCGGGGATGCAGTTGTGTGTGAGCCTCGGTGTGTCTGGGCTGAGCGCTGCAGTACTCGGCTCATTACGTCCCTGGGGCAGAAGACAGCCTGGGAACATCCTGACCTTCATTAGAGGGGAAAGGCCCCCGGCGAGCTGAGCACTGAGCCGTGTTCATGCTCTTCCACCACACCACAGGACCTGTGCAAGCTCCCTTTCAATTCCTGCCCGTCCCGTGGGCTGCTGACCAAGTCACAGCCTCCTCCCGGGCTTCCTTTTCCGGGCTGCATGAGGAACAGCGGGAGCCGGCCAAGGACCACGCTCCATCCCAACAGGGCTGTCATAGTGACAACAAACGCACAACAAACCGCAGCCCTTAGGAACCGAAACCTGACCTGCTCAACCCCACATCTCACCAGCCGTGGCTCAGCGCCCCCCTTTCCCGGCTCTCCCCGTGTGCCATTGCTTGGCTCCTTGGCTCTGCAGATCCAGGACCAGCTGGAGTTCCTATAGAGGAGCTGCAGACACGTCCAACTCCTCCTCCACCTGCTGCCGGCTCGGAGGATCCAGGCTCCCACGCTGCCCACCGCTGCCAAGTCCTGCGGGATGCTCCAGCCGATATTACCTGGCTCCTGTCCGGAGCTGTCAGCTGGAAGCAGAGCCAGACACCTGCTTTAGTGGGGAGCTGCAGGGCAAGATAAGGATAAGGCTGTACCTTCATCAAGAACTTAATTACCCTCCTCTGTGTGGCAAGAGTTATTCCCCTGTCCTTAAACCAGTGAGTTTACAGCTCATCCCCAACTTCTGCAGGTGGGATGGCATCCCGGGATCCTTGCTGGACTGCACAGAGACTGGTTTAAATTCCCACTTCACAGCCAGGCACTGCCACCTCTGACGCTCTGCACTTTGGAACATGCCTTCATGTTGTATGAAGAGCGGGAAGAACGTGTGATCGGGAGAGTTCTGGTGCCACCTCCTCCATGTAGCTCCCAGGCTCTCTGGCCATGTCTGAGTTCTACCAGGACAAACTGGAGAGAGGAAAAACACTTCTTGGAGAGATCTACCTGGACTCTGGCATCAGATGAGCCTCCACACTTGCCCTTCCCGCTCTGGATTGTCCTCTCCAGGATGTCCTTGCCACCCTGCCTCTGGCTGGGTTGTGAAAGAGCAGCTTTTGTGGAGCCCCCAATGGAGGGGCCACAGGGTTGATTGGGGGGCATAAAAAAGTGGGGTCCTTCATGTGTCTGACCAGCTGGGCCTACCCAGAGAGGCCAGGTGCTGGGACTCACCTGAGCCCTCTGGCACCAGCCTTGGCACTCACCTCTGGAGTGAGAGGTAAAGTTAGTGATCCCAAACTCTCAGAGCTGGCTGGTGGTTTCCTCTGGAGGTCTCCAGACCCTAAAGCAAGAGAGAATCAGTGTGAGTCGGTTGCTCATGGCTTTGTCCAGCCAAGAGCTGGCAACTGTCCCAGGAGAGAACAGATACTCCTCAGACAAGAGCAGGAGGTTGTCACCAGGGCTGTGCCCCACAGCAAAATGCTCTGGGTGCAAAAGCAGAACTGATGCCCTAGGACAGCTCAGCCATGGGGACACCTGTGTCTGTCCTTAACCTATGGCTTCTCTGCCCAAGGACCAGGACAGACAGACCACAGGGTGCCAAAGACTGTTGTTTGAGCCACTTTTTGGTTCCCCAAGCTGTCCCTCAAAGGCAGCAGCAAATCACACACTGTGTGTCCTGGCTGTGCACAGCTCCTGCTGGTGCTGCAGCTGATCATCCACATGCCCCCACCAGAGTGATGCCAGCAGAGCAGCGGGATCAAAGCAGGCTGTGGGCAAACAGCTGAGGTGGGGCAGTGAGTAAGAGATGTGGGTTGTGCTGGGGCTCCATGACAACCACAATATTTGGGTACTGCCTCAGCTCGCAGCACCCACTGGGAGCTCTGCGTGTGGTCACGCTCTGGACTGCCAGGGTGGGCACTGCTGGCATATGGCTGCTCCAAGGGTGTCTCACTGGGCCACAGGTGCTCACCACAGTCCTCGACACACCACAATGGTTGGCATCGTCTCCTCAGCCTGGATAATGGCCTTGGTCCATGGTGTCACCCACCAAGAGGACAGTTCCTTTACAGGGGTCATGGTGACTGTGTCGGGCAGGGGAAAGTGCTGTAGGGTGAAGCACAACAGGGGTGCCAGCGGGAGCCTGTGCTGAGGGGGTGGTGGAAAGACGTTGTGCGTTTATGGTGGGGTCTCTGGGGGTGCTAAAGGGACCTTGTGGTACAACGCTGGGGCTTTGTAGGGTGATAGAGAGACCTCGTGGGGTGTAGGAAAGACCGGGTCAGGTGCCGGTAGGGTTTTGTGTGGAAGCAGAGAGGCTTCATGGGATGGTGGAGGATCCCAGAGGTGGTCCGGGTCCGCTGGCCGAGCTCCGTCTCCCCGCCCCGAGGGCGCTCCCGCCGTGCGGCGGCCCGGGGGAGGCGGGCGGGGGCGGCCCGGCCCCTCCCGTCGCCATGGCGGCGCCTTAAACAGGCGGCGTTGGCCGCCCCCGCCCGCCTCAGAGCGCGGCGCCGGGAGGTGAGCGAGTGACCAGGAGGTGACTGAGTGGCCTAGAGGTGAGTGACCGAGCGACCGGGACCCCCGGCACCCGCGGCCCCTCCGGTGCCCGTCCACCGAGAGGGAGGAAACCAGGGGGGAGGGCGGGCGGGGGTCGTCGCTACCCCGGCATCCCGCAGCCGCCGGCAGTGACCGCCCGGCCAGGCGGGGAGAGCCCTGGCTGGCGCTGCGGGGCCGTGCGGGCCCGGGGCGGAGGGACCCCGCGGGAGAGAGAGACCGGGAGGCGACCGGCGGCATCCCCGCCCCGCCGCACCTCCTTAGCGACGGTCGCCAGGCAACGCCCATCCTCCCTAACGACGGTCCTGGGGACCACTCCCCGGCCTTTGCCGAGGCTCCGGGGACCCATCCCGGCCTCTCTCGCCCGGGTACCCACGGGGCGAGGTACCCGCTCTGCACCTGGGGGTGCCGGAGACCCCCCTGTGGGTACTGCAGCTCCCCGGAGTACGGCCCCGCCCAGTCCTGGCTGAGATGCTGTGGGTGCTCGGCGCGTGCTGAGGGATGCTGCGCCGCCAAGGCGAGGCTGGCGAGGCGATGGCAGGGGGGGGAGCGGGGACGGGGCAGCAGCAACAGCGCCACCACGGAGCGCAGAGACTGGTTGGCAGCTTGGCACTCTCCAGGGCATCACCCTTGGCCCAGCCCCGGGGGCAGGTCACAGGGCTGGGGTGCTGCCAGCTCCGCACAGGGGGATGCAGGCAGGGGAGAGGTGGTGCTGGAGGCAGGCGGCGGTGCTGGTTCTCCCGATCTGCGAGCGGGAGGAAGGCGGACGCATTGCGTCATTCCCGGAGAATATTCCCGAGGGGACAGGCTGATGCACTCACTCCCCGCCAGCCCCGGAGCCGACAGCCTCGCTGCTGACAGCTCTCGACCAGGAGCCTCCATTCCCCAAGACACGTTCTTGGCTTCCAGCCTCGGGGCTCATCCGAGGCTCCTGTCAGCCCTCACCCCACGCCCGCAGGTGCTGCCAACACCCCGATCCTGCTGCAGAGCCTCCACCCTCGCCAGCCTTCCTCCTCCTCCTCCTGCTGCCCTCGAGGGCCTGCGAGCAGCCAGCTGAGCTCTGCCGTGCAGCCAGCAGGAGCTTGGGTGGTGACATCTGTCCCCTGTCCTGCAGCCCCATGGCTGAGAACGCTGAGATGGCATCCCTGGAAGAGAGCTTCCGCAAATTCGCCATCTACGGTGACACCAAGGCAACGGGACAGGAGATGAATGGCAAGAACTGGGCTAAGCTGTGCAAAGACTGCAAAGTCACCGACGGCAAAAGCGTCACCAGCACCGACGTGGACATTGTTTTCTCCAAGGTGAAGTAAGTGACTTGGATGCTTTTGCAGCAGGGGCAGGGTGTGGTGTCTGAGTGTGGGGGTCCCCACAGAGCTGTGCTACCCCTGCTGTGTGCCCAGGCTGTCCATCCCATTGCCATGGAGCTGCGGGTGCTGTCATGCAGTGTCTCACCTTCAGGTGGATATGTGGCTCCTTCTGCAAGACCTAATAATAAATCAACCCAAATTTGGGGGTGGGAAGCTCAGATTTGGTGCAGAGATTGTGCCCCTGCTCCCATTCCAAGCATTGGTGTGGGCCTGGTTGGCTCTGCCAGGTTCCCATCTCTCAAGAAGGTGCCACAGGGAGCAGAGGAGGGTGCTGAGGGTTGTCTCATGGGATGTGGCCCTTCCCTGTGTCTGGCCAGCCAATGCCCAAGCTTGGGAAGGACTCTGATCCAAGGAGGTCGCATGGACAGCTTGAAGGGCTAAAGGCACCTGGAACAGTTTTTAGGGTCCCTGGGGACACAGTGACACTTCATGCTCCACACCAGGGTGCGGGAACAAGGATGAGTGGAGAACCTGCTTCCTCCACGTGCTCTGTCCAGGCATTCCCATGTTCCTGGGTTGGATCAGGCAGAGCTGAGCACTGGGAGGTTTTTGGGATGCAGGAGAGCAGATTGCTGTGCTGCCCCAGAGATGAGGACCAGGAGCTTGAGGAAGAGATGCTCTGTGCATGTCCTTCCAAATTTGACTGGAGGATTGATGCCTGCCAGGGGACAGAGGGTGCTGGGCAACCCAGGCAGGCTGGGAGCAGTGGGAATGGATGCACTCCCCTCCTGACACCAGCACCAAGTCCTAGAGCACTTTCATGCACCCTGGTTTTTGGTAACAGGGACTTCAACAGCTTGTGGCTGAAAAGCTTCTGGAGCTCAGCACCAGCTGTGCCCAGCCCAACCCATTCAGCTGAGCTGAATTTCAGAAGTGGGTGAATTTCAGAGGCACCTGAGGGTGGTGTAGGACAAAGCCAGGGTCTCTCTAATGCAGCTTATCCCATTTGGAGGCATGACCCAAAGACGTGCTGGTGGCAGCCTGAGTTTTGTTGTTGCAGAGGGAAGACAGCCCGTGTCATCAACTACGAGGAGTTCAAGAAGGCTCTGGAGGAGCTGGCCCCCAAGAGGTTTAAGGACAAGAGCAAAGAGGAGGCGTATGAAGCCATCTGCCAGCTGGTGGCAGGGAAGGAGCCCATTAACGTGGGCGTCACGGTGAGTGAGGAGCCCCTGGGCTGCTGGGAGCAGGAGTGGTCATCGGGAGGGGAGGAAGGAGCTCTGCCCACAGCGCAGATGCTTTCTAGGAGACCCCATGGCCCTGGTTGAGTGGGGGGACCTGAGGGTTGCATAGGGCACGGAGGGCACAGCAGGGTCCTTGGGTGGCAGGACCTTGTGTGGGGTAAGGGATGGAACTTGTGTGGGAAGGGGATGGAGCATCTTCTAGACTCCCATGTCCCATCTCCCCACTGCAGAAAGCCAAGACAGTGGGAGCCGTGGAGAGGCTGACAGACACCTCCAAGTACACGGGCTCCCACAAGGAGCGCTTCGACGAGAGCGGCAAGGGCAAGGGCAAGAGCGGGCGGGAGAACATCGTGGACACGAGCGGCTACGTCAGTGCCTACAAGAACGCGGGCACCTACGACGCCAAAGTCAAAAAGTAGGGACGGGTGCCCGTGGCGCCACCGGCCCGGTCCCTGCGCGCCGGCCGTGGGTCGGTGCTGAGCCCTGGGACGTGCCCGTGAGGGGGGGCCCGGGAGGCTGCGCTGGGGCCAGCCCCAGGCCGGCGGGATGTTTGTCGGCCGCCCAGCGCTGGGGGGATTGGGGAGGTCGCCGTGCTCTGCCCCAGCGCTGCGTCCGTCCCACCCTGTGCTGTGATCCCTCTCCCCTCCGGTGTCCCCTGTCACCCGCAGCCCCACACCGTACTAACAGCACTGCTCCTCAGGGCTCCCCTGCCCCGCCGGCACCCAGACCTTCCCTACCTCAGCCCCGGCTTTCGGGGCGCCCTCCCTTGTCCCACCGGGGCCCGCAGCCTGTCCTCCCCTCCCGGGGACCTGCCTTAACCCCGCACCAGTTACACCACAGTTACTCCTTCCTTCCCCACCGTGCTCTCCCCTCGGGGCTGCCTGCCTGGCTCTGCCGCTTGCCCAGCACCGCTCCCACCCTGCGGTGCCGTTTGTGCCGGAGCTGCCGGGATGCTCCTGGCCCGGCCCCGGGATGCGCCTCGGGAGAGTTTGGTGTTGCCTGGCCATCGGCAAAGGTCTCCGACCTGAATCCCCGTGGCCTCCCGCTGCCTTCGTGAAGCCCAAACCAAAGGATGCTGCAGACCCACGCTGTAACCCGGCTCTGCAATAAACCCCGTCCGCACTGACGCTCCGCTCTGGTTGTGTTCATGGACCGAGCAGCCGGAGCCCCCCTGGGGGCTCTCTCAGAGGGGGCTCGGCCGCCCCAGGGCAGCTGTGCCGGGGGCTTGGCCTTGGCCACCGAGGGTTTTGGCAGCTCCTGGCTGGCCCCGAGTTGCCTGAGCAACCGCAGGCACACAAACACGAGCGCCTGGCTCCCACTCCCGCTCTGTTTGCAACCAAACACACGAGCTCCTGGTAACGATCCCTGGGAACAGGCTGGGCTCCAGGATGGGACGGCAGCTCCGGGATGGGATGGTCACTCCGGCGAGTGCATGGAATTGGGTGTAGGCACTGTGACCGCGATCCCAGGCATGGGCTGAGCCTGCTGCAAGTGCTGCTGGGGTGGCAGTGCCGGGATTTGCAGCTGCATATCCACCTCCAGGGTCATCTGTTCAGAGCCAGGCTCCCTAAATAACCCACGGGGGTTATTCCCAGGTGCCTCAGCTGTGGTCCTGGCACTGCTCAGATTGTGAGGGATGTGACAGGGGCACACGTGTGGCTGGGACAGGCTCACTCACTGCCAAGGCACAGCACTGCACCTCTGCGTCCCAGACACCTGCTACGGAAAACACAGGAGAAGGAGGCGGAGGGTGGATCCAGCCCCATCCTCAGTGAGAGTGTACCAGTGGTAGGCTGGAGTGAGGCTGGGGGATATTAGCTCTCCTTTGAGCAGGTTGGAGGGAGTTTGTGGCCGTCTGTCCCTTAAGGCTCTTTCTGAGCATCCAAAGTTCCTCGAAAAAACTGTGGCTTGTGAAGGGAGAGGCGGGGAGACTTTAACCCTTTGCTGTCTCCATTGCCCTGTTGCACAAATGGGCTGTGGAATTTCCAGGGCTGCCCTGCATGCCTTGAGCTCTGTGGAAGTGACTCAGCCCTGTCCTTGAAGGCTTGGCAAAGGAAGATTATTTTGGGAAGAGGTGAGCAGGTCAGGCCCCACAGGACTCATCCCCTGCCTGTGTGAGGCCCTGGTTGTGGAGCACAGGAGCTCCCATGTGGGGACAGCTCTGAAGGGGAGTTGTGGGTGTTGATGTGTTTTTGATACGGGGAAATCAAGACTGGGAATCATAGAATCCTGGAAATATTTGGGTTGGAAGGTACCTTAAAGACCATCTAATTACAATTCTCATGCCATGAGCAGGGATATGAGGTTGTTCCAAGCTCTGTCCAGCCTGGCTGTGAATGTTTCCAAGGAATGGGTCATCCACACCCTCCCTGGCCAGCCTGTGCCAGGGCCTCCCCACCCTGCTGCTGAGGTGATGCCACTGCTGCTCAGGTGATGGCTCATCCAAGGCAGGGACTGCAGGATCTCCCAGGACAGCCAACTCCATCAGCTGGCCTCTGCCTGCTCTGAATCCTGAACAGCAGCAGCTTCTTCACAGCCTGTGGAGCCCCTGCATATATCAGGTAACAGCTCACAGCTGTCACAGCTCCCACGTGCTGCCACCCCCTGCATAAAGATGCTCCTCACCCACTCCAGTGCCTCTTCAAGTCCTCCACTACATTCTCCACAGTTTACACAGAATTTTTCCCCTCCAGCCTTCTTGGCTCTCAAGGAGGCAGCTCCAGTGGATGCTGTTCCCAGCATGGAGAAGGCATCTCAGGAGAATTCGTGTCAGTAAACACCGACTGGATCTGTTGGTTGCAAAGTGCCCCAGATCAGCCTGAAAAAAATCGTGTCCTTGGAGGTGATTGGAACAACTTTCTGGGAAGAACAAGATATTGATCTGGGTCTTCATCAAAAAGGGGAATCTTACTAAATAGCAGTGTAATGATCTCCTGAGAGTTGTTGGCTCTGTGTGTGCTTGTCCAAGGCTCCCCCATTCATCCTTGCAGGACGGTCTGAATGCCCTTTAGGAACAGCATCTGCAGTGCTGTGCCTGTGACCTGCACTACAGATACATCACACAGCTCCTCAACGTGGTCGAATTCAGGTGGACACACAGGTAAGAGCAAGGAATATGGCCTTTGAACACCAGCCTTCCTGAGCAGTGGGGGCAGGAAAGCAGAGGGTCCCGGAGTGGTTGGCAGTGGAGCACAGGACTGACAAGGAGGGGCTGAGCTGGAGTGCTCAGCACTTGACCAAAACCTGAAGAAACTTCCCCAGGACCAGCAGCTCCAGCTCTTTGCCCAGTGAAGCTTGAAGTGGTGCCACAGGCTGCTGAGACAGCGGAGACCTTGAGGCAGATGCACTCTGTGTGATGAAAAGTGACACTGCCCAAACCAAAGGGCCTGCAGCCATCTCCTCATGCTAATGGCCTTCCTCTGGCCAAGCATCTGCTCTGGGCTTGGCTCCACACCAGCCCCAGACAGACAGACACTTTGCAGCCAGCCTGTAATTCCCTGGCAGCAGGGGAGCCAGCAGAGGAAGGTGTCCCAGCCAGTGTTTGTGTTGTGTGCGTTGATCCAAGCTCCAGGCACGAAGATATTTTCTCTTTCCCCCTTGCCTCTTCCCCTTGGCCACTCTCTGGCCATGCTCCCTCCCGTGGTGGACAGATATGCCAGACCTTGTCCCCTGTGGTGCCCTGCCACCTCCTCTGGGTTTTAGGCAAACCCAGAATCTTTTACAAGATGATGTCCCACCTTGCCACTGAGATGCACAGCCCAGAAGGTGGTTGCAATTAATTCAGCTGTAAAATGTGTTTTCTGCCCTCAAGGTCCCTTCCCTATAGATTTTCTAAAATCGTCTGAGGTCATGGCTAATGTGCTTCATGCTTTGACAGCAAGTTGTGTGCTGGGGATGAGGGAACTGGCTCCTCTGGGAGGTAATTTTTCTCTAGGATCAGAAGCAATTTGATCAGAAATACTGATGAGGATGAATTACTCTAGTCCTCAAGAATATAGATTTGCTCCTAAAAGAGGGAGATAGTGGATACCAATATGCCCAGGGAGATTTTACCCTTTCTGTCCCTGGGCAGGATCACCAAGAAGAGCTCATATGTTGTCCAAACATCTGCTCCCAAGGGGACATCCCTCCTTGGAGGGCACTGAGCTGGTACAGAGCACGTCCTTGGTCTTGGGCCAGGCAAAACTTCTTCCCTGTGGAGCTGTACCTGCCCTGCTTCCTCAGTACTTTTCCATTTCACTGCTAGCCTAATGGACAATGCTTTCCAAAATACACAGACAAGGTTGTAAATCGTGTTCAGACAAGATTCAGAGTGCAGCTTCTATCACCTAAACCCATGAGTCGAATTCAAACTCCTCCTGTCAGTGCCCTGAGATTTGTTTGGCCACGTGTGTTCCAGGCAGAACTTCATTGCCAGCCACGTGCTCCAGCACTGTGCTGGAATATTGATTCAGTACCCTTCTAGATGGAATCCAATTAACTAAATTACCATCTTCCCAGCATGGCATGGTTCCAGATAAAATATTATTATCCAGGACTCATCCCTGCATTTTGTTAATGTAATAACTGCGGCAGAGTTGTAAGAACACAGGGGGAGATGGAAGCAGGAAGATGCAGAGAAAGAAAACAGAAGGCAAGGTTTGGATTCACCAGATTTAAATACAACATGAGATACCATGCAAGGTAAAACTGAACATGGTCCATATTTCATGTCTGTTTTGTTCCCTGTACAGAGCAAAATTGTACAATTGCTCTGAACTCCAGAACCACCCAGAGCTGTGTGCACACAGATGTGTGATGCACCTCTTCCTAGTGGGGATGCATTTCTCATGACTGGTGCATTTCTCAGCTGGAAGAGGTATTTTGGGAGCAGTGGGGCTGCTCTCTTTAGCCATCTGCTGCAGCAGGACAGTCAGTGGATAGTAAAGAAATGGGCAATATTGTTGCAGAAAAGAGATTAAATTATAAACAGGCATTTGGGAAAGGGCACCTGCTGCAAGGATATTTTTCCAAAACTGATACACTGATTTCATCATGGAACCATAAAACGCTTGGGACTAGAAGGGATCTTAAAGATCCTTTAGTTCCAACCCCCTGCCATGGGCAGGGACAGCTTCCACTATCCCAGGCTGCTCCAAGCCCTGTCCAACCTGGCCTTGGACACTTCCAGAGATGGGGCAGCCACAGCTGCTCTGGGCAACCTGTGCCAGGGCCTCACCACTCTCACAGGGAAGAATTTCTTCCTAATACCCAACCTAATCCTGCCCTCAGTCAGTGTGAAGCCGTTCTCCCTTGTCCTGTCACTCCATGCCTTTGTCCAAAGTCTCCCTCCCTCTCTCTTGGAGCCCCTTTAGGGACTAGGAGATCCTCTAAGGTCTCCTCCTCTCTTCTCCAGGCTGATTTCCATTTATCCAAAATCACATTTTAAAACATTTGTACTTGGAGCTCTAAGCTTGTAGCCCAGAGCTCTGTATTTCAAAACTTGTATCTACAGCCAAGATTCATTTTAAGATTTCATGCAGAGCTTGCTGACAATCGTTAATAACTGATAGAAACTGTTCCAAGAGATCAACAGCATGTGCTAAGGCAGCTGGAAGCACATCAGTGGAGCTCTGTGATTGCAAAAGGCAAATCTCCTCTCTCTTGTTTTGACCTAAGGTATTTTTCTAAAAAACAATTAAAAGGTTTCATCAGACACAGAATATTCCTGATGTGCCACTCACTGAACTGGCATTTTCAGGACTTGGTTTAGAAGTCTGTGACCAGTTCCAGCCTCATTAAGGGTACAATGTGTGATAGTGGTCACCAAAACAGCTCTCTGTTGTGTCCCAAATCCATCCACTTCCCAGCAGTGGGGGGCATACACGGCTGGAGGAATTCCAGTGGAATTCCGGGAACACACAGGTACCATGTCCTGCCATGAGAGCTGAGCTGTCCCTGCCTGTGAGCAGCCCACACCTCTGCCCTGCAGAACAGCCCTGGGCTCCTGGGGTTTAGTCAATTGTTTCACTTCCAGTCTTGGAAATAGCACTTGGCAACTCGGATATTTTTCCTAAACAACTCCTCAGAGGAACCACAGGGAGAAGGGTGGGTGAGCTTACAGGTGCTGCAGTTCTGAGGTTACACAGCAGAAAATCTCCAGAGCTGCCTGTGAGAGGCTGCACATTCTGTTTGGAGAAAAGCTTGTTTTGGTCCTTCAGCAGCCCATGCATCCATCCTATGGTGCTCTGGCTTCTCAAGAGTAACTCCACTCTTGCTGTACCATGACTCCAAGCTCCTGGAAAATGCCCACAGGGCACAGCTGGCCCTGGCACCACATGTGTGTGGTTGTTCTGTGTAAGTTCTCATGAGCCTTATAAACCACATCAGCCCTCATTTACTCGGTGCCCAGGAGGCTCTGAAGGATCCTTCCAGTTTTGTGTGGGTGTTTGATTCCTGGAGATGCTGGAAGCAGCAGCCTGATCCATCTCTTGTAGGATGGAAGCTGCTACACGGCTTCCCTAAAGCCTTTCATCCAGCTACCGAATCAGATAATCCCTTTGGGATGAGACAAGACATAAGAAAACAAACCCCAAATCCCCAGAATCACAAAGGGTCATAAATGTTACAAGAAATGAATCACTTTTGTACAGTTTCCCCCATGTCTGGTAAGTCCCTCGGAGCCTTTCCAGTGGTGCTGCTGAGCCCTTGGAAGCAATGAATATCTGTGAGTGTAACGTGGTGTGAGTTTAAACAAACCCTAATGCCATTGCTTTGAAGTATTTATCTCAAACACACTTCTAAGGAAAAAAAATAGAGACATTTTCCAAGCATTCCTGCATAGGTGTGTGAAAAAAATAGCCTAAACAAGCAATAAAATCTGAAGCACACCAAGATAATCTGGAGTTTTGGCAGGAAGCTCAGGTGATGTCAGGAAACAATTTTAAACAGAAAAGTTTCTATGGATTTTTTTTTTCTTAGACCTAATTGCAAACAGATTTTTGCTTTGGATTTAAACACTTCCCTGCAGCATCTGCAGTTATCCCTGCCTTATGCAAGACAGGAACAGGAGGGTATGAAGCAAAGGAGGGAAAAGCTCAGCACCCTCCTGCTCACTTTATTGCTACAGATTTAGCCTGTCTTGGGACAGTCATGCAACATCATTTTCTTGGGATTATTGCCCAGTAGATTTCAAGGTGAATTACAAAATCCAGCGAGGCTCCTGTCTGTTGAGGTCCATCCTTCTGCCCTCCTGCATCCAGCAAGGATTTCTTGCTGCACTGAGCCAGAGCTTTGGGAAGCACAGGGAGCCCAGGGCTGTTGTTTTCCCGGGAATCCGGGAGGCTGCTGGGCCAGCACGGCCAGGGGACAGCGGGTGACAAACACCGAGCTGAGTGGAATCACAAAAACTCCACAGGCACCGAGATCTGCCCGGTACCGAAGCTTGGAGCTGTCGGTGGGCTCACACTGCACGGCCTGGAGAGGACAACAGTGACAGGCATTTGATCATGCACTGCTTATTTATCAATGGGATAATAAAAATATCCTTATTTTAGGTTTTAATTTTTTTTTTTCTGAAAACATTTCCCCCTTATCCTAAAACACCATCTGGCTGCCCTTCTTTCATCATCCCTATCAGATCTGCCATCTAAAAGCATCCAACAGCTCTTCTATTTCATGTTTTTTTGCAGTCATGTCAACCAGCAGAGAACATCAGACACCAGAGACTCCAAAGCCATAAACCTGACACAAAAACCAGCCCGTGAAACACTGTCTGGAAAGCTTATTAATAAAGAAATTAAACAAATTATCTTTAAGTCAGCTGGGATTTCCAGTAGTAACAAGCAGAGATGATAATGGGTAAACCTAAGAGAATGTTCACGACATATAAACTCATCCCTGAGGTGTGACACAGCCCCAGAATTGCAGTTGTTATTGTACAGATTTATTTAGATATTAATATTTAAAGCATAAATTATAAACACATATATAATATAGATATTAACATGTGGAGTTAGCCTGTATTCATATTGATGCTCTTTTTAAAAATTCTGACCTTATCTTCAGAGGAAGCTAAAAAATATTATTTTGCAAAATAGTTTAAAATATTTTAATAATAAAATATTAATGCATATTAATAAAATATTAATAAAGTATTGATGAGCAGTCCTATATCTTTATCTAAAGCCCTCTTTAGGTTTTTTTAACTAAAAATCCCACATGATCAAATTTATTAGTTAATTTATTAGCTGTCACATTCCAGGTTTTCTTGGCTTTTTTTATTCTTTGGGTCTTGCTCATCACCTGTTTCCTGCTCTAAGAGAAATGACACAAAGAGCATCTAATTAAAGAGATCTGTCACATCAGCATTGTGTTAATTGGCTTTTAGGTAAATTGCAGCCCTGCCCCTTCCTCCAGGGTGGATGGGGATGGGGATGGGGATGGGGATGGGGATGGGGATGGGGATGGGGATGGGGATAGGATGGGGAGGCACAGGCCATGCCTGGGAGCAGGGGTGAGACCCCTTTGTGCGGGGGGAGCTGCTGATCCCATCAAGCAGCAGCCTGAGCTGCCTGAATTCCCTCAGGAATGTGTGGGAATACTTTCCTTGGAGGAATGGTGCCATGAGGGTTTTTTGGTGGTGCTGTCTTTCTTCCATTGTCCACGAAAATTGGATTGAGCCTCAGAAATACCAAGATTTTGCTATCCAGTTGTTTTTCTTAAATCTTTTCATCTTTCTTGCTTGAACAGTACCAGCAATAAGAAGTTGATGAGATTATCCATGAAAATTAAGTCTTGTTCCCCACATCATCTTTGATTATCAGTGCAGTCTGGAGCTGTCTCTGGAAGCTACTGATTTTTATTCTTGCATCTATTTACAGAGGATTTTTCCCCATCCCACCTTTTCCAGATATGCTTTTGACTCCCTTTTCTGTGGCCATTTATATGAGAAATAGCCTAAAAACGTTCCAGACATCAGGGTAGTCTAGAATTTACAGGTTTGTTTCTGCCCCTCAATGTTTTCTGTGTGGAGGAAGCAGAGAGCGTTGTGGGCTCTGCAGAAGAAGAGTTAATTCATTTTGATGTCAGTGATTGGTATTTCTCAACTCCCAAAAGTAAAGTCACTCTGTTTCCTGAATCTCTGTTGTGGAAAGAAGCTCTTGCACAAGGTAAATCTGATAATCATAAATTATTCATTGACCAACACAGTTTTGTGTTTAAGCACCTTCATTTTTACACACAGACCTCAAAGTTTTCTTTTCTGATCTGTGTTGAATTTACTGTATCAGCATTAATTTTGCAGCTGAAGCCTTTCTTGCAGGAAAAGTGGGATTTTCTGTTCTTTTTTCATTCTTAGGTAAGATTGTTTGCAGAAGGATGTCCCAGAGTTTGTGAAAAATTTAACTTTGTATCGAACACTCCTGACAGGTATCCAAACAAATAATTCTCACATTCAACTCATCTGCCCTGATTGTGAGCACAAAAACTGTTCCAAATTTCATGCTTGACCTTCTCATAAGAGCTCATTTAATGGTTTTGTTTTTAATTAACTACAGTTAAAGAAAGCAGCTGTTGTGTTTGAGGATAATTTTCTGCTGCCCCATCTTATTGAATGCAAATGTTTTAATCTGGAGAAAGTGGTATTGCCCTTTCTACTGCTCTGTGAGGAGGTTCAGGTGGCCTGAAAAGAAATTAATTCTAATGGGACACCACTGAATTTACTGTCATGTGCAACAGGAAAGTGACAGTTCCTCCTCTTCCCCTACTCTGTATCTGCATAAATGAAAATATTAAATGGGTATCTCTAAGGGAGATTTAATTTGATATACAGCTACAAATACTTTAATTACAGTGTAATTTTGTCTTGTGCCAGTGAAGGGTGAGTCTGTACATCCTGGCTGGACAAAATGTCTATTTTCAAACATTAATACCTACATTTCCTCCAAGTTTTGTCTAAACTCAGAGTTTCTTCTGATTTCCAATTTTTATTTTTTTTTTAATTGATCGTCTCAAAAATGTTATGCTGCTTGATATTTCTGACATCAAATATTAACATTGTGCATTTAAATTTTTTTCTTTTCTTTTTAGGCAGTGTTTAAAGGTGTTCTCTCTCCAAAGGCTGGAAGACCAGCAGAACTCATTAGTGCATTACTGCATTAACAAAGGGTGAACGATCACATTTACCATGGACCTGTTGAGGTATGGCCAGGAACACATCCCACTGAATCAGAATTCTTGCATTCCCCATCCCTGGAAGTGTTCAAGGCCAGGCTGGACCAGGCTTGGAGCAACCTGATCTATTGTAAGGTGTTCCTGTCCATGGCAGGGGGTTGGAACAAGGTTTCAATTTTTAAAGCCCTTTCCAACCCAAACCAGAACACAGATTTGTGCATTGTCTGCACATTTTTAACAAAAAGGAAAATTGCACCTCTCTTCAGAATTTTGTTTGGTTTTTTTTTAGGGCAGGATCAGCAAAGTCAGATTCTGAAAAATACTCCATCTGCCCCCTCTGCTGGTGTCCCTGCTCTAAGGCTGAAAAATATTTTCCAAAACTGCAGTGGTCAGGAGGACTCAGGGAGCTTAGAGGACGCTCTCCCTTCACAGGCACAGCGATGTATTATGTTTATAGAATTTATCAATCCTAAGAAACTGAGATGGCTTAAAACACCAGTGTTCTGTGAATATTCCACATTCCAAAAAATTAGAATTCTTGCATTCCCCATTCCTGCAAGTGTCCAAGGCCAGGCTGGACAGGGCTTGGAGTGACCTGGGCCAGTGCAAGGTGTCACTGCCCACGGCTGTGAGGTGGAATGAGGGGGCCTTTAAGGTTTCTTCCAACCCATTGCAGGATTTTGTAATTCTAACACCTGAATGGCCAAACTATGCCTGGGAATTGTGGGGAGCACAGACTGGGTAGGGCCAAGCACAATGTCCATTTCTAGCAGAGATAATGGTGTTGTTCCTAACATTCCACTGAACCCATCTACCCTCTTCAGGGGATTCCCTATGGAAAATGCCAGGATGAATTTTCCATGTGTGTCATCACTGTCACAGAGCAGAGTGGGATTCCTGCTTTTCAGTATCAGACTTTATCTACCCCAGTTAATTAAATGGGAAAAAAAAAAAGAAAGAAGGGACAGAGAATGTCACCTGTAGAAAGTCAATAGCTGGAAAAAGTATGGAAAGTTCCAACTCTGACAAAGATTTCAGGGAAACACCTCTGTTTTAGGAGCCCATTTATTTTAGTTGCACCCTCTCAAAAATGTATTGTCTAATCTGGGATTCCTGACATGCAGCTCAGACTCTTTGGAAATCAAGGTCAGCAAAGGAAAGATTTCTAATTATGCCAATAAAACCAAACATTTTTTTCTCATTGTTTGCGTGCCAGGTATGGAAAAAATTGTTTGCGTACTTTTCAGTGTTTAAAATGACAGGCACCATCAGCCTCACCCTAACAACCTGCTGGATTTGATTTGGTCAGAGAAATGTTACTTCAACCTGTCCCCAGTACTCTGAGGGGGTATTTACACATCCCAAGGACAACTGCTCCTCTCAGTCCTGTCTCCTTCTGCAGCCCAGGTTCCCATGCTGAAATCATGACACAATGCAAATAAGATTCATATAAAGAAAATAACCTTTATTAGACAAATCAATCAAACCCTGAAAAAACGAGTGTCAGGTAAACAATACTAAAGGTTTTTCCAGCAATTTAGAAACCTTTGAAACTGAGAAATTCCAGAAGTTTCATGTTCCTCTTGTTGCATTAGTAAGTTCTCTCCCTCTTGTGACTTGAGCTACTGCTGTCTTGACAGCCCCAAACCCTTGCATTAACCCAGCAATTATCTCAAAATAGTAACTTGTAAAATATTCCCTGTATAACTGTTTCCCACACAATTTTGTACAAAGGTGTCAAACTGTATTTTCTTTGTTGTCTGAAAAAAGAACAAGGTTTAAAAACATCCAGCTTATTAAAAATAAACAAGTGTTTTATATACAGTACAGGAGTTTCCAAACTTGAAGGAACACTGTCTCCAGGGTGGCTGGGGGGTGTAGCACCCCAGTCTGCCAAGGGGAGAAAACTGCAGTTAAATAAATTACTACTCCATCTTCTTCCTCAGGCCAAATGTGGCTCTTCTCTCACACCTGCAGGAGCCTGATTTACAGCCCTGCATAAACCATAAGTAAACAGGAACGTGGCAGCCAAGTAACTACTGTTTCAAAAATGCTAATTTTTATTTTGTCCAAGAACAGAGGGAGGGTGTCACAGCCACGCAGTGACCTTGGATGTTACTCATGAAAAAGCCACCTTGGAACACAGGGCTCATTTGTTCTCCAGTTACGCTGTGTTACTTCAAACAACATGCACTTAAAGTTCAGCATTATCATCAACCCATTACACTCAAAACCTGTTGGTCTCGAATGCCAGCACCATCCAAAGCTCCTCAAACAAGCCACAACAGTGGGACTGAAGTACCAGAAGAGGGGATGAGTCAGAGGTGAAGCAAGGAGCCAGTCCCTGTCACTCCAAAACCAGGGGCACAGCCAGGACAAAGCACAATGGAGCCTGAACTAAGCCACAGGAACCTGAGCCAGCAGGGCGAGAGAGAGACTTGCACTGGGACAGCAAGGGGCAAGTGGCTAAAATTAGAGCCAGGAATGTTGGTGCCTCCTGAGCTCCACCAGACAGCTCCCTCTTCCTCACTCCTACTGACACCCCTGCTGGCTGCTCCAAAGCCCCTCTCTTGTCAGCCTCCCCACCGGCATCAGGGGAGTCTCTGCCTGGGCATCTCCCCCTTCTCCCGTGAGTGCACTGAGGATTTACAGGTGGAGCTGGCAGTCACTTAGAGCAGAGGTGGCACAGGCAGAGTGGCAGAGCTGACAGATGGCCATGAGAGAGATGAGCTCAACACCAAGGCACTGGAAGAACCATCTGAAGAAATAATTCATAACAATGGAATTGCTTTTATTAGAATGAAAGTGTTAAGCCAAGGAAATAAATTATTGCTATGATAGACATATTTAGAACATAAGGAAGGACGTTAAATCTTGAGCTTCAGGTCAATACAACCCTGAAACAGAAAGTTATACTACTTTTTTTAAATATCTCAATTTCTCTTCATGCCCTTCCAAAAACTTTATAAAATGTGCAGCTTACAGAACAAATAGTAACAGAGTCACTTGTAATAAAAATCTGTACAACTCATAGCTTTAAAAATAATACTTTTTTTTCTTCAAACTGCTATGTTACTTATTACTTATAAATATAGGGCTAACGAGTTTTAAATGCCCAGGGTCCCATCCAACACCAAAGCTATTACACTTAGTTGACAGAAGCCTTCCTGGGACTTCGCCTCAGGCAGAGGTCAGATTTTGGGCTGTTTGAAAGAGCCTCATAATGGGCAAAAAATATCTTCATGGATGAAGACTGTCTCCTTCTGCTGGTCAGAGGCCTGAGGTCTTCAGTGAGTTTGAAATGGCAATCAAACCTGGAACACAGCACCGTGCAATGGGTTAGACCAGCTGCACTCCCGGGATGTGGTGGGATCCCACAGGTCCCTCTGTCCTGGCCAGCAGTGACTTCACAAAACACTTGAAATCCACTGTTTGTCAGAGGTAAATTTTGGTGGGGAAAGAATATTTTAGTGGAAGAGCCTTGCAGGAGAAGCAAAGCTCTTCTCCCATGTGGAGATCTGCCTCTGTGCCTCAGGACTGCTGCTGCCCCTACCGCTTCTGTGGCCACTTCAAAATTCTCATCTGTGACCCTCCAGAAGGGGCTCAGGATCTTAAATCGGAACCTTGGCTGGTTCTGAACTCCTACACCTGTGTGGTGTCACATCTCACAGAACCAAACCTACAAGCCATTCACCACTCTGTTCCTTGACCATTCAAGCCCTAATCCTGCCTCTCTCATGCTTGTACCCCTCTGCTCCCTGTAAAAAGGGAGGCTCAGCCCTAAAGACAGAGAGGAAAAGGCTGAGCCAGGAGCAGGCTGGTTTGAGTGGGTCCTGACATTACATATGCCAGTCACGAGCAGGAGCCCTGCTTGCCTGCAAGTCCTGTCAGGGCTCACCCTTCCTGGATCAACTCTGACTTCCTCGCAAACAAGACATCCTCCCAAAATCACTAAATACAGGAGCAACATCTGGCAGGTCCCTCAGGACCATCAACTAGCAGGTTCCTCTGCCTGGTGAAGTACTGATTCCTTTGGAGGTTCAAAGGAAACTGTGTGATAAATCCACCTTGGGGAGAATACTGTGATTCCCCAAGGCAGTTCAGAGGGACTAAGAGCAGGATTTTGGCAAACAGCCACAAGAAGTAGATTAGTGGTTAGACAGGTGGGCAGCATTCAGAGGAAAGCAGCTCATCTGAACACTCAGGAGGTGGTCAAGCCTCTACTACCTGAACGTGATTTTGGTGGTTTTGCTTTTGCAAGGCAGAAAGCATCAGACCAGCTGTTCAGAGCGTGGCTCCATGGGAGCTGCCCCTCTGTAACCAGATGAATCAGAGCCTCAGACACCAGTCAGGAATGCAGGTGGAAAACTCACAGAGGAGCTGAGGTGAGGTTCCCCTGACTCAGAGCTACTGACAAACCTGACCAGCACTCACAACTGCTGGAAAATCCCCTGCGGGGGCTACTTACAACAACTCCACTTCCTGAGGCGGGGCCGAGGGGCTCACACTATTCTTGAGGGACTTATGGTGACCTGGCCTGCTTTCTGCAGAAGAGAGAAGCCAGCGTTAGTACAGGGTTAGAGGACAACAGCATCAGGACAGGATCTAGTGGGAAGGGAAGCAGCTGAGAACTCTCAGAACACACTGACATCTCAGAGCAACAGGCTCCCACTCCTCCATCTAATCATTCCCCAAAAAAGGCCCAAACATCCCTGGAAAGGAGCTTGGCAGCATCTACAGTAGAGCTCCAGCCATTCCAAGAGGTTATATATGTACCCCAGCCCATGGCAGCATTATAGCTCCTGTTTGTGCAGCATTTCCTCATTGTGCAGCCTCCAGCACTGCAAGTCCTTTCCAGCTCATCTCCTCAGGGATCTTGGCCACCGGAGGAGTGGCTCCAGCACCAGAGGGGCTCTTGCCCACCCCAGAGGGGGCGAGTCTCTGCAAGAGAGAATGTCACTTCCCCACAGTCACCCCAAGCCCAAAAGCAGCATCTTCGGTCCCCCTGTGAGAGGCAGTGGCTTGAACTGGGGAGGCAGTTGCAGGAGCAGGCAAAGTGAAGAGAGTGTTTTGGCTGCTTGCACTTACTGCAGAAATGTACTGGCTGTTTGTGAACCTGGGCCTGCCCTCCATGGCAGAGCTGTGCTGTGAGCCTACAGGCATGTAAGGGGGTGAGCCCATGTCTTCACAGAAGCTTTCTTGTGGGACGCTGGAGACACAGCCACTGTCGGAGCCGCTGGAGCCGGTGGCTGACATGCAGTGCGATGACTCTGAGCTCTCTGTTGCTGGGGAAAGAGAGGAGGGTCACTCTGATAACCATGACTTTGAGCTGCACATAACCCGCGCCACACACATTTGATAATGTACCTGCCTGCAAAGGCACTAGCCACACAAGCCCACAGATAAGCCACACTCCTGTCTGGGCCTCTTTAAGGCCACAAATCAGTAAGACAACAAATCAACACAAGGAAGTAGATTATAATGATGCTGACGATAGGTTAAGGGCTGGCCAATGAAGTTCACACAAGGGAAGGCAAAGGGTCATGGGGCCAGGCTGGTGAGGGCAAGGGACAGAGCACCTCATACCAGAAGGGCAGTGACACAAGTTCCCAAGACCACAGCAGCACCAGTACACAGCATCAAGCCTGCCATGGGTATGGCTGCAACTCAGCAGGTACCTCATAACCCCTGCATTTGAGCTAACTTCCCTCATGGAACCTGAGACAAGAGCTGGCATGGAAGGGCAGGGCCCTCATGCCCTGGTCTGGGTAGGAAACAGGGAGTGCCATGACCCCAGCAAGCCTGGTCTGATTACACAGCACAGAACAAGGTGCAGGGAGCCCACACATCCCAGGTGCTGCAGAGCAGGGGGCTGTACGTACTCATTGAGGGCTGGCTGCTCGTCTCATGCTCCAGCTCATCTTCCTCGATGCAAGTGCCAATGTCAAAGGGGCGTCTGGGGGCCAGGACTCCTGGCAGCAGAGCCTGGTCCAGGTACATGTGGAGGTTGAGGGGCCCCAGCAGGGAGGAGGAGGAGGAAGGGGCGTAGGCAGTGGGGGTGCTGCCAGTGGAGAGCTGAGTCTGTGTCCTCTTGAAGGGGTTGGAATGGTCAAACAGAGACACTGCAATTGAGGCTCTGGTCCTGGCACCTGCCAGAAAACATACAAAAAAACCAAAACCCTGAGAAACAGTCCTGCCTTACTCACATGGATCAAGGGGGAAGGCACTGCTGGCACCTACCTCTGCCTTTCATGATGTAATCAATAGCACGGTCATTAATAGCTGCTTCACTGGGTTTGATATCCAGGAAGGGCTTGTTACCCACACCCATGGAGACCATCTCCTGCATACGGATTTCTGGAGAGGAAGAGACCCACAGCCACATTATTAGACCCAACTCTTCCCACAGGCATTATTCAGCCACAGGTTAAAGCACTCCCGGGCTGGGCTGTTTCTGAACTGCTGAGATTAGATCTCTTCTCCCCCTGCTCCCCTCCCCAGCACTGTGGAGCCTACAGGAACAAGCAATCATGCCCTACTCCAGCCAAGTAGCTCAGTGCCATGCCACCTACTAGAGTCCGGCCAAGCGGGAAGCCTGTGGGGGACAGGAGGGACTTGGTCAGCATGATTCAGTAGTGAGCTCCAGTAGTGGCCTAGATCACAGGGAGACCACAAGTCTTTCAGGAGCACAGCCTGTGCTCACAGGACAGGGAACCCTCAGCATGGATCTTCTGTTTCTCTCATGGGGAACAGGTGGGCGTCTAGAGTCATACAGAGCTTGGACCAGTCGAGTTCCCTGGGGATGAGGGGCAGGGAAGGGACATGCCCAGCCAAGCCCAGCACATGCTCCTGAGGCTGCATGCTGGCACACAGCTGCTTGCTGCACAGAGTTGCCTGGTAACAGGATCCAAACCTACTCAGGACAGCATGAGCTGAACAGGGCTCCCGCACCTTTTGAGGCACAGAAGGAATTCCAGGAAGGAATCACACCTTTATTGCGGGCTGCCTGCTGCCACAGGATCTTGGCAATGTCACTGGTCCAGGCCTGCTTAGTCTCAGCTGAACTGGCCTGGAGGATGTAGGTGTCGCTGGACTTCCGCCTTCGGAACCAGATCTCAAAGCGCAGGCCGCTGTCTCCAGAGTTCTCAGTCAGACCAATGTCTGCAGTCTGTGAGCAAGAGGAAAAGCAAAGCATAAACCAGACTGCACCAGCAGCAAAAGGAGTAAACTGCTTGAACCTCGCGCTAGAGCTATCCCCAGCTTGGCAGATCTAGCAAGAAGGAGCCTGAGGGTCTGGAAAGCAGCAGGTATGTCCTGGACACAGCTGAGCACAGATAGCTTAGGCAATTCCCAGCGCTTCATCCAGAATTAGCACCACTTCCCTGCCACGTACACACTGCCTTTCCTCCATACTCCATGACCCTCAGAAAATGCTAGAACCCCACATCTCAGCACAGAGAAGGCCTTGGCATCAAGTAAAATATTCTCTTCTGGCTTCACCGCATGGTCTAGAGGAAGCTTAGAAGTGGTGGGAGTAGCTCTTCTGCTGAAGGTGCTCCTGCTTCCCATTTCAGAGGCATGTCATGCCATGGGGAAAACAGCCATGGACACCTCCCACACAAGAGGGAGCTGCAGGACTGCCCTTACCTTGAAGGAGCGCTTGTAGATATACACATCAAAGCCACCCTCGATCCTCTTGGGCTTGCTGAAGAGGATGAGGTCCTCAAAGAGGAAGACATGTCGCTGGCACTTCCTGCGGCCCAGCCAGATGGTGAACTCGTCCTGCCGCACCAGCTGCCCCTGCTCCTTCAGGTTTACCTGGACACAGAGCACATCCTCGTAAGATTCCACCAGCATGACCCAGGCAGCCCTAGGCCTGCACTTGGAGAACACGGTCCCATATGGCTGTAGCCCAGGTGGTGAAGAAGTGGCAGCTACCTGACATCTCAAGAGGGCTCTTGAAGATGTCGGGCTGCATGACATTGCTGGGGACCACATCAGGCTGAAACAACTGGCTCTAAGTTCAGGTTATAGCTGGACCTTTCTCCTAGGCATAACCCACAGATGTCTGTCACCCTGTGCAAATCTGTGACAAACCTCTGGAGTGCCAACTGCAGGCAGCAGCCAGAGCTTTCTCTTGGGGAGGAAATGAGTTCCATCCACTGCCAGGAGCCTATCTGGGTCAGAAGGACAGCTCTTCAGTTCTTCCTTACCCAGACTGATCCTATTCCACCCTGAACCCTGCAGTTTCTCCTTCTGCACTTTGCATACCTCTCTAAGTCCCACCTAGAAGATTCTGCCCTACCCCTGGTATCAGCATCAGTTTGAATTCCTTCTTGCAATCTGCTTGACCCTCTTTTCACCAGCTCAAGAGATGAAAGGTCCAAAGCAGCCTGCAGGATGCCATCTGCAAGGGCTGCCAGGCTGCCTCCCATCACTGGTAAGCATCAGGGAGCATGTTTATGACAAGCAGCTCACCCAGCTAAGGTAGCAGCACTCAGGCTGTCTGTCCTAGGAAATCAAGGAAACCTCCAGGCCCCACTGTTCCATTGCCCCATGCCTCAGCAGTCCTGCTATGCTGTACTGGCAAACAGCACTCTGATCAATGGGGGAACCTGAGGGGAGGCTCACTGTACAATCCAAACACCTCAAATCTAGAGAAGGGGAATAAGTGTGGCTCTGTTCCCCCGGGCAGGGGGAGGCACTGGAACGTACGTCACAGTCACGGATGGCATCCATGGCCAGCAGGTCATTTCCATGCCGGAGCTGAAACTTCACCATCTCCTCAGCAGCACGGAGATAGCCCAGCTCCTGCTCCTGTGCCTCGCTGCACTCCTTGATCAGGTCCTTCAGGAGCAGGGCATATTTGCTCATCCGCTGGATGGGTTTCAGCAGGTAGGAGGCCAGGTCCATCTTATCCCCCAGCTGCACCTGCTTGAACTGAGAAATACAGCAGAGTGAAGGCAGCAGCTTCCCAAGGAGCACCCTGTGCCCCCAGGGAAGCACTGACACCTCTTGACTGGGGTACTCAGGGAAAATTGATAGTCAGGGTTCCTTTCCCAAGCCCTCGCTTCAGCTATGCAGAGAGTTGTGCCATGGAAGCAGAGCCTGCCTTAGGCAGGTACGTTAGCTTGGCTTAAACAGATCAGTGACCAAACACACTGAACAATCCTGATACAGACAGTGGAACTTACCTTGAAGAAAGTATTCCCATGGCTGGCCAGCAGTGAGTCTGACTTCGGCTTGTTCTTGCTATACAGTGCGTACATTCCAAACTGGTCTTTCTGCAGAAGAGATCCAGCCTCATGTGAGACCCATGCACCCAGAACATGGTGATAGCCACGACCTTGGTAGGTTACTCTAGTACTTCTGCTACTCCCAGGCTGCACAAGAGCTCCTCTGATATCAGGAATAACTTTGTTTCAAGGCCATTAGGAGCCAGGGAATGTTCTTGTCTTCCTACTCCTAGAGAAGCTAGGACTTTTTGATTCATTGTTCTGCTACCCCTAGCCCCTTCCACGCCCCAATAGTTACTTGGTATCATTCACAACAAATAGCAACAAAATGCAAGGGGCAGCTAAGACCTGTGTCCCTGTGCTTCTGCCCAGCAGCCCTTTTCACCCAGAGCTGCTCTGCACTTCTCTGCTCACTCTAGTTATTCCCACTGACACCACAGACAGAAAATAGGTAAGGGATGTCCCTGAAGAAACAGATGGACTTCAAGGAGCACACATTTCACTTCCCTGGAAGTGTCTCTTGGTAGCAAAGCACAACAGGAAAGGCACAGAAACCAAGCTCACGTGTGGAAGAGCCCGACCCCGGGGACAAGGTGCTGATGCCTTACGTGTCGCAGGAAGCAGTGGCTGACCCTCAGTGGGTGGTTGCAGCAGCTCTCAAGCTCTCGAAGGAAGTATTGGCTGTGGAAGTCATAGAGCTTCTCCAGGTTTCCAAAAATGACGCTGCGCTTCCCGCGCAGGTCCTGGGGGAGGTCGAGGCGCTCCATCTCAGGGAAGTAGCTGTCGATGATGTAGCGAAGCGACCGCACGTACTCCCGCTCCGTGGTTACCATCTCATCGATGATGTGCCGCAGTTTGCTGCAACAGAAAACGCTCAGCCTTGAAGGGACCCAGGCTGCAGCAGGGCTACAGCAGCCAGAATGCCTGCAAAGCACTGGACTATCCCTACAGAAGCTCTCTCTGACACCCAGCATGGAAATGAGATGATCCTTAGCACAGTCCAAGCTCAGATACACAACTGTTTATGATAGCTCTGACCCTGAGCACTGACAGGACTCAAGGGAACAGCATGAAGCTGTGTCAGGGGAAGTTTAGGCTGAAGATATTAGGAAAAAGCCCTTCACTCAGAGAGAAGATGGTGTGGCACTGGAACAGGCTCCCCAGGGAAGCGGTCATGGCACCAAGCCTGTCAGAGCTCAAGAAGCACTTGGACAAGACCCTCAAGCTTTGGGTGTGATTCTTGGAGTAGTCCAATGCAGTCAGAAGTTGGATCATTTATCCTTTTGGGTTTCCCTTTCAGCTTGGAATACTCTGAGGTTCTAAGGATTCAGGAAGGAAGTGCCCAAGGCTGGCTGTGATCCTGACCCCAGCTCAGCAGGACACGCACCCCTGGGCCCATCCAGCCCCTGCTCTGGACACAACGGGCTGCTCTGCAGACGGCTGCTCCCCTGAAACAACAGTGACAGGAGAAGTCACAGTAACTCCTGTGAGGAGTTGGCCTGATGACTGGAGACTGTGGGAAGCAATGTCAACCCTGGGAGAACAATTGCTCTAGACCTAGGTGCTATTTGACTTGCCCTAGCTAAAGTGAGAGAGTAAAACTGAAGTGTCCTAACACTTGATCAGTGAGCAGCAGTTCCAGGAGCTGCTCTCACGTATCTCAGTGGATGCCTCCTAGGTACTCGAGGTTTCCACTGTGAGGCAGTGTAGCACCAAACATAACTCCTGCAATGTGTCCCTGCCTCCCTTGCCTCTCAGCTTTTCCTCAAGTCAACTCCTCTGGCTGTTCAGAGAACAGAGCAGTGGGACTGTCTCAGCACCCATGGACACAGGAGGCCTATTGCACTGCTCCCTTGAGAAGCAAAGTGGTCACCCTGCTATCTGCTGGTGCACATTCCCTGCCACAAGCTTTTCTGGGTATCCCAGGGATATCAGAGCTCCCTTCCAGAAGATTTCACTGTCCCCAGCTATTTCACTCAAGAGTAGTAACTGTGGTCCCCCAGCATCCAGCACTCTTTTCTCATCTCTGCCATTAATTTTTCAATCTTTTCTAGTGAGAGCAACTGAAACGTCTTCCTGGACACCCCTTGTCAAGAACAGCTCATATCCCTGGGTTCTCCAAAGCATAGGCACATACTGTACTAGGACAACAAAACTGAGATTTTTAAGGACAGAGAAGGAAAACATTAAAAGCATAAATGCCAGCTGTTGGACACCCACGGATTTCAGCCCCAAAGCACAAAGACAAGCACCTCACCTCTTACCTGTGAAGCTGCTGTCACAAGGTGCTGGAAGTGCCTCCCTACCAGTCTGGGTACAGCACTCCCAAAAGCATGGAGGACAATGCTCTGTACTTCTGCTCCCCCACTGCCCCTGTACCCCTGGCTTTGTTAAGTCCCTGAATACTGTTTCTGTAATCCCTCATCCTCCAATGCTAGCAATGTTCAAAGACTCCCTCTCCTGTCTGGGAACTGAACTTTCCCCTGCTAGAGGAATCATACTGAGAGGGATGAGACATAAATCCCATTTCTCACTCTCCCCATCACGGAAGGTGCCAGATTATGTGGGGATATCCCTGTGGGTTTGCTCAGCACCACACACACATATACAGGGAAGCTGGAGCTACATCTCCATCTATCAAAGTAACCAGCACTACAGAGCTCCTCTAATCTTTGCTGGCTGCCTTTTCACCACCCTGACAAATAGAACACCAAATGTCACAGCCACTTACCTGCCCCAGCTCTTGGCTTCTGACCCAGAGAGGCAGCCCCTCTGTCCCTCCAGCAGGCAGTCTGCAGCCCAGTTGCTCACAGCTGGCTGCCGCAGAGCGAACGTCCTGTCCACCAGCTCGGTGCTGCTCACCTCCAGCCCCTTGATGAAGACACCAGTGTTGCCATATCTGGCTGGCTCACTCCTCTGGCAGCTTGACCACAGGCTCTCACCACAAGGTAGGTCAAAGCTTTGGGCCTTCCGAAGGACCCTCCTGGGAGGCAGCTTCCCAGGGACTGGAGTGGATGTAGAAGACTGTTTCACCTCTGGGGTTTCTAATATGCTCTCCAGGTTCGGCTTTTCTTCAGGCAGCGTTGGAGACGTACAAGCCCTGCTGGTGAAAGAAATTCTGCTTGAGTGAGGACCAGGGCTTAGAGCAGCTTGGCAGACAAATACTTCCCCAGCATTGAAATCACCAGGGCAGCTCAGGGAGGGCGAGGGAACTTTCTCCTTAGTCCACTCCAGAGAGCTGTTGGTTCTGTTGTAGCCATGGGATGTGCTCTGAGTCCTGTCCCAGTGGGACCTGGAGGTGGCCCCCTCAGAGTGTCTCCGGTGGGACAGAGTGCCAGTCTCGCTGCCAGCCTGGGGCTGCTCCCCGACAGCTGGGTTGCGCTCTGACAGCAGAGACTTCCTTGTTCTCAACGCTGCTTCGAGTTTCTTTTCAAACACCAGCTTGGTCTCCTGGCATTTAGACCATGCAAACTTCCACTGCTTGAGCCCCTTGTCACTCTTCAGCTCACAGGCCAGTTCCTTCATCTCCTGGAAGCGGGCAGCACTGATGTCCGGGTGCTGCCCCTTGTAACTCTCCAGGCACTTGATCACATCTGTACAGTGCTCGGCAGAGCTGCAGTCCTCCATGCTGATACAGGCAAGGTGTCGCATCCCTTCCAAGGCCCACTCATATGCCTGCAGAGGGAGAACAAAAAGCAACAGCCAGTCAGAGAGACTCAGTGAGGAATAACCCTAATTCGGTGCCTGAAGACAAGAGAAAGGACCAGTGTCTGGCCACCACAGTTCCTTGAGTGTGGAGAGTGGGGGGGGGCGGCTATTGTCAATGGGGCTTAACAATTCAGCAAGACAAACAGCCCCTTATGCAAAGGGCTTCAGCTGTGCTGGCTTCTCTGCCACAGCCCCACCTCCCTGCCAGGACCCTGTGAGCTGGCTCCCACACTGCTGGGCATGTTTGTCCTCTCCAGGCAGGGGGGCCCAGGGAAAGCTGCCACTAAGACTGCAGGAATTCACACCTCAGTGTGGCCCTGCTCAGGATAAAACCTGGAACTCTCCCTCCACCTTCGCCCAGTGGCGAGCTTTCACCACTGTCAAGCAGGACAAGGTCAAGGGGCACCAGTAAGCTGCAGGCAATGGGACAGCTCCAACAGCTGCTCCCTACACCGTTTTCCTGGAGCTCATAGCACACAGAAGCCACAGCTGGGCTCTGTGGATCACCCCAAATGCTCAGACCCATCCTTGCAGCAAGGAGGAATCTGAGACCATGCAACTTGTGCATCTTCTGTGCCTGCTTGCAGCTTGTGTGGTGTGCTGTGTTCTGCCTGCTTGCCACTGCACTACATGCTTGTGCTGGTTAATCAAATACTGAGCTCAGCAGTTTATTTCTAATACTCCAGGAATGCTGGAAGCAGCTTCACGGGGCTTAACTCTAGCAGTGGTGCATATGCTGGCCTTGCTAAAACAGTTCTGCTATATCAGTCAACCAAGAGAAGTGGGACAAAATGTGGTCTAGTGGGACAAATACAAGGTAAGAGTGAGTGTCTTATCACCATGGAAAGAATGGGGCTCAGCATCAAGATCTGTCATTGATCAAAAGCAGAAGAAAGACAAACATCTGACTTAGGCTCAGAAGCCACCATTTTCTCTATAAAGCAGAGATGGCAAGAGTTAATGATAGAGTAATTAAGATGTGACCAGCTGCTGTAGGCCTGACCAGGGAACTTTGACACTCCTCAGTGATATACAGGGTTATTTGTCAAAATCAGACACATAAGGTGGGGAAAACACCCTGGACAGGACTGCCTGCATCTTCTGCCAACTGCCCAACATCAGGAGATGTGCAGAAACACCGCTGGCTGCCCTGAAGTGAGCCAGACCATCTCTAGCACTGTCAGGCCCTGTGTACCTGCACAGAAACAACACTCATGCTTAGTGCCAGGAACAAAGTGACTGGCTTTTACATTTTCCATTTCCTGAGCAGCCTCACTGTAGCAACCTTCACTCAGAAAGCTTAAATCACTTTTATAGTTTTACACATTAAGAAAATCCACCCAAGCTTTATGCAAGCAGACATTGCATCCCAATCAGGGACATGGGGGTCAAACAGATCGGGTGCTAGGCTCACTCCCTGTTGGTGACAGAGACAGGTAGGGCAGAAGGTATTTCATTCACGTGATGCTCAGTCCCTGGATGGGGACGGCTGTGACAGCCAAACGCTGCTGTTTGTAGGAGAGCTGAATGCAAGCACAGCCTGCAGTCTGAGCAGAGTCACTCTGGGGACAGATTCCACAGGAGCTCCCACAGCCATCCACATTCTCTTTTGAGCTGCAGCTGCATGGCGTGCGTGCAGCCAGCCCCATTACTATGCGGAGCAAGGAGCTGCTTCTGAAACACCAGCAGCTGCTCAGGGAAAACGCTTCTCAGCACCACACAACTACAGCACAGGACAATCCAAAGAGCAGCAGCTCCCTTTCCTCTCATCACTCTGCCTAGAGCAGCAACAGGCCCCTGATCTGTCTCTCTCTTGATCCAGGCTTTATGCTCTAGGCTTGCCCACTGCTGGTGACCAGGAGGGGTGTGCAGAGGCAGAGGACCTGTCAGATTCTGGTGGGAATCCACATTTATTCTCAATGCAGAGGTTCTTCTATTCCCTGGAGGTGGAAGCATTTCAAGGCAAAGTGAATCCCCAACTGCAGCAGAGCCCAGCAGATCTGCACAGCAGTGACAGATGGCCTATTCTGCTGTGGAGTTTTGAGCTGCCCCCTCCAGCTGTACACAAACCAACACCAGCCCCCTACTGCTCTGCCCAGAGCAAGGGCTGGCCATCCGTCTGGGCTAAGAAAGGGCACATCTCACCTCTCTGGCTGTGGAGGTCAATGGGTGATCCTCACTGAAGGCTGCATCCTGGCTGCCTTTTGCTCAGTGATGGGAAAAGCTGAGTTCAAAAGGCACACGGGGCTGTCAGAAAGGATGCTGAGAGCAATGAGCAGGAGAGGGACATCCAGCAGGCCTGCCTGGACTTTACAATAACCAGTCAGGAAGGCAGATGCCCTGTTAAGGTCTTATCTAAGGCTGGGGTACTCACTTCCACATACAGATGAGAGAAAGAGAAAAGAAACTTCTTTTATTTCTTGGAAACTCTGCAGATCTGCCATGCCACTACTGTGAGAAGGCATCAGGGCTGTAAAGCACACAGGGCAGCCCCACCACCTCTCATCTTCATATGGTCTCTGCTCTTGGCAAGGACTCCAGGGCTACCCAGAAATGACAGAAACGACTCTCAGTCTCGATGGCACTTCCTTCCATCACCAGTGCTGGTCACAGGCCAGCAAATAGCTCAGCTTTGTTCCCTGTACAATGGAGCAGCCCTCCACATCCTGCAGCTTTGCTTGGTAACATGCTAAGTGACCACCAAGGCTTTCTCCAGTCACATCATCCGCTTCAATTGCCTCTTTTTGCACACAAATGGCAATTCTCTCCAGGGACCAAGTGTGTCCGAATCCTCATGTAGGCAGGAGTATTGCTGTCATATGTACCCCGAGTAAAGCTCCAAATAACAGACAAGCCAGGATATGGCCCTCTGGAGGAGGGGCTTTTGGGGAGCAGACAGCCCTACAGCTTCCCTGCAGAGCTGCAAGAGCTGCTCAGGTAAAAGGAGGCACCTGTGCAGAGAGAAGCTGAAATCTTGCAAACCATGTCTGGAACCAGGCAGGAAGGAGCCTGTACCTCAGCTTTTGATCTTTACAGGCAAGTTGTTACTGAAACTCTCAATTACAGGATTAAAGACAAATGTGCTTCCTGCATACGCAGGACTGACCTATCCTGAATAGGCATCAGTAACAGGTTGGTCCTGCCAGGCTGCCTGAGAGAGGCTTGGGCTCTCAGGGACCTGCCATGCTGTAAGGAAAAGCCAGGGACTTCACTGGATTATGGTGCAACCCTCAAGCCCATCATCCTCTGCTGATGTCTGATCATTTCACCATGGACAAGGCCTGCAGCACATCGAGGACAGGAGCTCCTGGAGTCTGTCAGGTTTGGCACCACTCAATTACCATCTGCAAACACAGGCCCAGAGAAGCTGTTCAGCCTTGGCTCAGGGCACACTGCCAGCACTGAAAGCCTTCCAGGGTTCTGGATCCTCACCTGAGCCACCACTCAGAAATTATACCTCCCCAACCCAAATCTATCACAAACCCATCAGATTCCTTGCATACTCAAGGTTAAGTGACATCTAAGACATCTTCTGGGTAGCCAAAACAGGGAGCAGACAGTGTGCATTTCAGACATATCCCAGAAGGGGCAGTTTCAGGGGGCCTGCCTCTGTCCAAACTCCTTTCCCCCTTCCTGTGGGAAGATGATGATTGTAACTGCATTTTTCATGACAAAAAAGAAACTGAGTGTCTGAATTGGCAGAGGTAGACAGATCAACTTTCTGTACAAGAAAAATGCACCTGGGTGGGTGACTAACTCTGCTGTGAGAAGGTTTCCTTCAGAATCTCAAGTGACTGCACAGTTCAACTGAGATGGGGTGATAAAAAGTCAAGACTGGCCCTGGTGGGAGCAACAATAAAGGCAGGGATGGAATCATGCTTGTGGGTGTGATGACTGAAGCACAGCAACAAGACAGACCAAGTTTCTCCCTCTTCTGTGGCGATGTCCCAGGACTAGAAACCCCCATCTCCCATGCTCTCTACAGCTCAGAGAGGGGGAAGCAGCATCACAGCTGAGAACACTACCAAGGACAGCAAAAAACCCCCAACATAATCAAACAAGTCCTGATCCAGCTTGGTGCAGCTCCTGTATGCGGGCTGTGCTCCACTCTGCTGTTTCTCAGTGAGACACAACTGACTGTAGGTCTCTGTGGCAAGAAACAACTGCATAGCCCCCCCATTTAACCAAACCTCCTCTCACCACCACTGTGCTCATTTTAAGTGCCCTTAACTTCAGCTGTAAACTTTAAGAGCAAAATGAGGCAGCAAAGGAGACAAAACTGGTGCAGCCAGAAAAATTAAAAGCATCACAGGTACTGCTGTGAACTAAACAAAGCACTTCCCAACAGCTGTGCAGGGTGTCACACAAGCACTGTGTCCTGCAGCTGCCCTGCTCTGCTGGCCACCCACAGCCTTGGTACTGAACCCTGCAGAGCTCAGACACCGATTGCAGCACTCCCAGCACAGGAGTAAAGAGTGACAGGGATTCACCAGAACACCACTCCAAAGTAAATGCAGCTCTCTTGCAAGAAAATGCTACTGTCATTACAGACACTCATTTGGGCTTATTCCCTCTAGAGTCCAACACGGTTTTAGGCTGATTTGAGAAGGCTGACTCCTGCTCACAACACTGGTGAGTCCCTTGTCACAGGCTGCTGCATGCACAGTGTTAGCAGGGACTCATGGCTGGAGACTGCTTTATATGCTGACAGTTCAGAAGGTCCATGATTAAAAAGTTATTTTACATCAAAATATATTGAAAGCAAAATTACCCAGGCTTACCTTACCACAAGAACAGTCAGCTGGCAAATGGTTACAAGCTTTACTCAGAGACCAAGCATCTTCAGCAGAAAGTGGTCAGTTCACCACTCACTTGGATTGACTTTAGGCTTTCCTCAGGCTCCCACCTACCAATACTAACAGCATCCATGAAGAAAGGAGCAGGGAAAGATCAAGACTTCAGGATCT